GCTGGGTGGGCGTGGCTAGGTGGTCATGTGGCTGGGTGGGCGTGGCCAACTCGATGTCACTCACGTTTAGGGGCACCTTGCCGGCCTCTCCTTGCCCCCCCCCCCCCAGCCACTCCTCGCCTGCCCGCCGGGGCTCCTTAGGGCCCCAACAGGAAGCAGTTGCTGGAGCTAAGCAACCACCATGAGAAAGAGTTGGCTAAACAGTTCAAATTGGATCTGACCGAGAAGGAGGCTCAGCAGAAGCACCTCACTGAGGACTAGGAGCATGGGCTTTCCAAACAGAGGGAAGACCTGTGGGAGTTCAAGGCCAGGTGCTCAGCGGGCTGAGATGGTCAGCCAGTTCCAGGCCATGATGCCGTTCCACTGGAACGAGGCCCTCTGGCTTTTCGCCCCCAGCGGCTCTTCCCTCCAATCTTCGCCCAAATCCCCCCACCAAGAGGCTGAAGCAGACCCCAAGTCAGAATTTCTGCCCCCCATAAAAAGACCCCTAAGGGGGAGACCCTCTGCAGCAACACAAGCATCCATTGCACGTATCCATCCCAGGGGCCGTAGTTAGAGGACCCTCTGATTTAGTGCCATATAAAAAAAGGCAGATAATTTTTCTGTGGACCACCAATATTTTCTCATGGGCCCCCAGTGGTCCACGGAGCACCAGTTGGTGGCCGCTGTTCCAGTCCACCCCCCTTGCCAAGGCAGGAGCCCATGGGTCACGAAATGCCCGTGAGCCCCGAGGAGCCACAGTTCCACCCTGAGCTACAAAGGTTCCACTGATACCTTCCTTCTCCCTTCCTGGTCAGCCTTGTTCAACCCACCTGGCCTGGTCTGTCTTCTCATCCAAGCAGGCGACGGTGCAGTTGTCCAGCATGGTGTGACCGCAGATGTCCAGAGAGGTCAGGCTGCTCAGGTTCTCCACGAAGAGATTCAGGACTTTGCGGGTCAGCTTAAATTTGTAATAACTGGACAGGCAGTCTCGGGAGATGTCTAAATGCCTGAAGGCAAACGAGAAAGAGATTCTCCATCACCCAGGTCACGGTTCTCCCAGAAAGGCAACGGGCTTCCCTTTGTTTTTCCTGGAAGCCGTTTCGCTTCTCATCCAAGAAGCTTCTTCAGTTCTGAAAAACCTCTGAAGGTGGGAAAAAGTTGCTCAGAACCGAAGAAGCTTCTTGGATGAGAAGTGAAACGGCTTCGAGGAAAAAACCGAGAGAAAAAACACTTTCGGGAAGCAGTCAAGTTTTCCAACTTAGATGCTCATTAAATGGCCCAAGATTTCGGGGATCTTTGCTGGCCAACAAAGCTTAATAGTTATAGACTAAGGAGACTTATTATATAGACCAGTGTTTTTCAACCTTGGCGACTTTAAGTCCTGTGGACTTCAACTCCCAGAATCCCCCAGCCAGCATAGCTGGCTGGGGAATTCTG